TATTTTTTTTGCTTTATTTATTCATTATTTTATGTACACTTGGTATTTTTCAACACAGTAGAAGGGAAACAAATTAAGTGCAAAGCAAAATAAATATTATAGGTTGAATATATTTTAACACATTTCTGTCATCTCTGAATTAGCAGACACTGACATCTCAGCGAGGACATTAATTCTTTGTACTGGCAGTAATGGAATAAAACTATACAACACAGTATTATGACATTTTAAATGATCCAACATGTCAGAATAAAACAGGCTTAATTTACTAAACAGAAATAATTGGGTGCAAATACATAATTAGCTTTTTTAGATAAAAAGAAATTATCTTTAAGTTAGCAACATAAGGCATTTGATGATTTCTCTCCATAATAAATTCAATTGATCATAAATACAGGGCTAACATCTCTGTTTTGTGTGTGTTCAAGTAAACCCCTGCCTTATACCACCAAAAACATATTATGTGGTACAAGTCAGAGGTGTTCAAATGAGGAGCCAAGCACCTACGCCTGAGCTGTGTCTGCACACACACAGACACCTTTGGGTTTACACAGAGAAAATGCAGCAGTCAAGTCTCAACAGAAGTAATACACCAGTTAACGTCCCTTCTGTTTACTATTGGTCGAGCAGAATACTGAGAGGGGAAAAAAATAATGTAATTTTGAAATGTAATCAAGTTCTTGCATAAGTATAAAAGAAACACACAAGCCTCAGAGGGGAATATTAAAAACAAATACACACATGATGCTCAGGTAAACACTGCTAGCATACTAAGAGGAGCACAAAATGAAAAATGGGGTTAATGCTGAATGTGTACGACATTGAATGACAGCACAGAGAACAGATCTGGTATTGCAGATTGCACATACAGACACAGCTCTTGGAATATTTGCTATATTCAAGACTGCAATGGTGCAAAGCAGTGGATGTTAGCTTCATGGGCCCATGTAGCTTAACGTCAGGAAACAGTCCTGAAAAACACATCAACAAACTGCTGCCCCCACCTCCCACTTTTGGTCTTGCTAACCGCTGCCTTCACCATGCTTTAAATACGCTCTTACTAGCCTAATTCTAGTTTTTCAATGTGTATTTCTCAAAGGACCTTGTGAAATTTATTAGAGCCAGTTTGGACTTGCATGTTCTCAAATGTTCACAGTAGCATTTCATACTTGAGGGCTTGAAGCACCATTATGAGGTGAAAATAAACCACCTCAGTTTGCACATCCTTGTGACATAGTACCAAGATGAACTATTTAAAAGTTAAGGAGCCTTGGAACACAATCAAGAGTGGCTATCCTTGTTTATGCTAATTTGAATTAAAACATATGCACAACCACCATGCTCTCACTTGTTGCTGCTTACTCTTTTCACTTAAATTAAATGCCCTTTTCCTTCTGCTGGCATTAATACCTGACTTAGAATAATAGAACAGTAAGGGTTGGAAAGGACCTTAAGATCATCTAGTTCCAACCCCCCTGCCATGGGCAGGGACACCACACTAAACCATGCCACTCTGTCCAACCTGGCCTTGAACACCAACAGGCATGGAGCATTCACAGCTTCCTTGGGCTACCCACTCGAGTGCCTCACCACCCTAACAGTGAAGAACTTCTTCCTTATATCTAACTTCAACTTCCCCTGTTTAAGTTTTAACCCGTTACCCCTTGTCCTGTCACTACAGTCCCTAATGAAGAGTCCCTCCCCAGCATCCCTGTAGGCCCCCTTCAGATATTGGAAGGCTGCTGTGAGGTCTCCATGCAGCCTTCTCTGACTCTTTATGACTTGGGAGGTTAAAAATAAACCCACAACTTTAAACACTCCATTACTGGGAAACAAAAGGTTTCCCAGCTTTAGCCAAGGTATTTTGCAGGGAGCAATCAGATACAGTTCAACAACAGAGCACAGAAAGCAGGGGCCTTCCTTCAGTGGATGCAAGAGAAGCTAGGGGACTAATAGGCAGCACTGAGGGGTACAAAGCCTGTTACCCAGAATCCACATGTTAGGATAGCACACATAGCTCAGGAAGTTTCCAACAGAAGTTTTATGTGGTCTACATGGACCTCAGCTTCTCCAGAGGTCAATTCAAGACCTCAGTTTAAGAGTGATCTCCCAGTCTGAATTACCCTGTGGAAGAACCATCCACCCAGAGTGAAGGCAACCTAGGAGACTAGTTTCCTAACTTTAGCACCTTCCCTAGTTATTTAAAATTAGATGATTTAAAATCAAATGTCCTCCAGCCATAGAAAATGTGCTTAGAGGCTATTATCCCTTTTGTCCTTCTCAACTGGTTATTAAAAAAAGGCATAACTTGCTTTGGGTGCTTACTGGCACAGCATGCATAACAAAGCCATTTACAGATAGTGTCCGAACTGTTAGCTCTATTGCTGCTCTTCCACTTTTAATAGAAATCAGTCCCTTTAGAAGGTAACACAGTAGGAGTTCATTGTGACATTACACGAACTCCTATTGCTGGGGCAGAAAATGGAGCATACTATTACATCATATAATCAGCTAGGTTGGAAAAGACCTTTAATTTCATTGAGTCCAACTGTTACCCCAGGACTGCCAAGACCAATGGTAAACCATATCCCCTAAATCATAAATACAGTGCAGGTATTTTGTTGCTCATTATTTGAGAGGGGGCAGGGAGAGACCTATTATTTTAAAATGAACAAAGGTGGTGGGTTCAGGTATTTGTATTTCAAGACCTGGAGATGCCCCTCATTTTCACCCACACCCAGGAATAAATGTGAGCAGGAAATTTCCCCAGACAATTCACACACCTCACTTTCAGAGATCAGGCCAATCTCCACACACCTTAACTCCACATTGTGCCTGGTAAGGAGATGAATTCAAAATGCCACAGGATGCTAAAGAGCTGTAATGGCTTTATGCTCACTAGGAAGATCTAGAGCGAGACCATTACATTGATTTCACTAAGATGCCTTAAGGGACTGCTGGCAATTAGGACTTGTCTGTCAAAAGTTAAATCAGAAAGTGCAAGGTTCCCCTGCGAACACACCAATTCCTGGTTATTTTATTTCACTTTCAGTAACTATTCCAAAATAACTCCAAGCATAGACTAGTTTCCAAATCATAACCAAACCAGCTATTTTTAATTTTCCTCTATTAGTTTCAGAAGAGTGTATATGTGCAGAAATCTATGGCAATACCCTGAAGAACATAAATCTGAAGAGACCAAGGTGTGATACAGAAAACTCATCTCCTGAGAGTGAGCAGAGGACTGTATGACCCAACAGGTCTTTACAATGGTATAACAGTAAACACACAAAAAATGGGAATTCACCACAATTATACACAGTGTCTCCCTATAATGCTCACAGTTCAGTGTTTCATAAACTTCGCCCTCTGTTTAATCTGAATTCAAATTTTCATGTTTTGATACTATGAACAGTTTCCAACAGAGTAAGCAGAAACCACTGGCACTTAAGGCATGGCAATCCCAATTTGTTACAAGATCTATGTCAACAAATACTAAGAATATGGAAACTAAACATTCAGACTGCTGTAAAGTAATCACATTGTTTTGTACACTACAGAACTGTATGTCAAAAACATTACCAAAATTTTATTTTAATAAGTTAAGCTTCCTACTAACCTAAACCAAGAAAAATGTTACCTCTCCTAAAGAAAAAAAAACAAATAAGATTCTTGTGACTGTTCTGAACATCACAAGTTTCTTTTCCCCTCTCCCTACACCAGCAGCAATCAGTACACTGAAGCAAACAGATCAAACCTTTTCTTTACCATTTTTACCCAAAACCTGTAGTTTATTTGTCTTTGAAAACTATTGCAAAAATCCTAAGCAATTAAGTCTTACATGCATCTGTGTGTACATGCATCTGTGTGTGCACGCACAAAATCATTTCAGAGTTTAACAAAAAATACAGCTGGCCAGTGGTAAGTGAAAAAAACAAAATCTTCACGTAGTTCATAAAAATGAAAGAGACATCAGGAATTGCTGCATAAGCACATATATGAATATTCAGAGCATTTAAATGCTAAAACATGACTTTGAAATATGAGCATATGAAATTATATGGGATATTAAATTTCTGGGAAAGGTAACAGCTGATCTAGAACTATGCACTTACTTTCCTCTTGTCTGTAAATAGCTCTGGCCACCCCTTCAGGAGTTTCCACTTAAATCTGGGTATGACCCTTTGTTTCTTTTCTCAACTTTATTGACATTTGCATTTCTTCAGTATCCAAGGGGAAAGAGCTTTAAAATAGCTGAGGGATTTTTTATTTGTTTTTAGAAAAAGAGTAATAAAACATTTCTCTTTATAATTTTATCATTATAAAGGATGCCCTCCAATTTATGATGTGTGTGCCCTGACTGTGCCTTATATCATTCTTAAATGAAAACAAGAGCTATGAAACTCAAACTAAAATAACAGTACTTAGTCCATCATTTAAAAAGGAAAATCTTAACATTGCGTGCTACTACTGAGGCTGAATCTTCTCAAAAAGAGCTAGTTCTTGCTGAGGCCCATCTTTGCAGATCATGAGGATCTGTAACACAGAGGACTCATGCCTTAGCCCTTCCTAATGTCAGTTACCACAACCTGATCCTAATATTTAATAAAGAGCCCTTCTTGGATTTTATTATCAAGTCAGAAATCTAAAATCACAGAAATCATAATCTCAGTAAGGACAAATGCTTCCATTTTGGAAAAAAAATTGTGTCTAACATAGCATATACAGATGTACTAAACGAGAATTTTCTAGCCTTGTAATTTCAAAAGCTACAATTTACGGAATCATTGCAAAAGAGTAATAATGAACATGTCAACCCCATAACATATATAATAAAATGCTACATTTTGTGGAGTTTTTTGTAAATTTAGTAGTCCTGCAGATGTGACATGGGAAACATATCCCATAAGATGAAATAAGTACACAGAATCAGAACCTTGACTAAATGTACAATTTTTGCAAATGCACAGTTGGTAACATTTGGGATGACAGGAGACAAGTTAAACTAGTCTTAATCTTCATAACAGCAATATGAAAGGTTATAAAAACAGCTGCAATACATTCATTTCATTTGCCTGTTAATTTCACAGAACTATACATATAGCCAGTTAGGTACATGAGATTTCACAACACGGAAAGGGGATGCAGCTCCATCAAAAGAACCCCAACCAAAAAAACAAGAAGCCCCAAGCCCCCAGAGACACACCACAGACATTGGCACGGGACTCAGGTGCAGAAGTAGATCCTGGCATTTAAAACAAGGACTTTTCAAGTTGTCAGCATCTCTTTAATTTGCTTCTTTCTGGACAGATTTTGGATAGATTTGAGGTTTGGGAATGAACATTGTTCCAATCTTGTTTTTTTTTTGCCACTGCAGGACAGGTAGTAGAGCACTGGATGGAATTAATCTCAGTTTAGTATTCTGAAGTCGCATATCTAACCTAAGGTAAATCATAGCTTCCAGAGTCTCCAGAGATGCTCTCTAGAACATGATTCATTCTACTTTCCTTAAATATCTATCTGAGGAGATTAATAGCTCTCTAGAGGTGCCCAGATTCCTTCCTTAAACTAGATGTCTAACTTTCACAGAGCTAGCATTGAGTGAGATGAATTCTACTCACTGTGTACCAAAATTACATCTTGTGTCTGGAAAAGTTGGCATGAGAGCTCCAATGAAAGAATCAGGCAGCAGAAACAAGAGTCTTCCTTTTTTTTTTGTTTTTCTCCTCTTTTGGTATGTAATTTGGACTTTTGAGGACACAGGGATTGTAGAGGTACAAACTCCTACCCAAAACTGGTTTTCCATGCAAGTCCTGCTCACTAATGTACTTAATCATGTACATAATTTAAATAACAGAAACCCCATCTATTTCCATAGAGCTATCTAGTCAGACAGCTCAGAATTCTGAATACAAGGAAGGACACTACTGAACTGAAGCCTTTAAAAACTGGGAAGTTGCTTTAAATGATAAAATTATCATATTCATTTTAAAATTACCAAAAGAGTGACATCTCTGCCTACAGGCTATCCCACACCAACTTCATACAGATAGTATGGAAAGCTCCCCTTTAGTTCTTTAGTTTAAGAACAGGAGCACTTCAGAACAAGCCTCTTTTTTTTTTTTTCTTTTTTTTTTGGACATGTTTGCAATGGATTTTTTAACATTTGCTGCCAAAGCGCATTTTTTACAATGCTTCACAAAGACAGACAAGATCAAAGGACAAGATAAAAGGAAATGTAATATCCTCAAAAGCACAATTTAGGTAACATGACTGAGGGAAGGTCTAGTGTTGGAGATGATGACCTAATTCCAAAATAATTAAATTCCTCCAACTAAGGAATCGCCATCATTCAGTTTGGATTAAATAAAACTGGAGTAAGTTTCCCTCTGTATGACTACTTCACAAGGAGACAGTCCGCAGTAGTTATTGGACTTTGCACTCACACTCTACAATACCCTGTAATACCTTTCACATGTAAACAAACCAAAAGGCACTTAGGCAAAGCATCACAGGAAATCTAGCACACCTCCTGCCCAGGCTTTTCCTGCTGCATGGGTGGAGAGGAACTCAGTCTCTAGGTACAGTAAAACAACAGTTGAAAACAGAACTGCCATGAAACACCCTTTGCTATTACATTCACATCATAAAAGTAATTCCTACATGAAAAACTTTGAGACTTATAAGTATGTACACACATACAAAAAAATCCTAGACACATACATGTGTGTATATATAATTTATGCATACACATGTATACATATACACACACAAGTATAAAATAGTACAACTAAGAAGACGGTGATCTATTTTTGCTTCTTTGTGATGTATAAGGAAGGTCTAAAAGCATGTTACTGTCTTTGCTCTGGAAATACTAGAAATGTCAAGTCTGGTCTATCTATGCTCTCTTTGCTGGAAGACCTGTAAAGCCACAGCTAAAAGAGCTTCGTACCCGCTGTTTGAAGTTTAAAGTCCACAACTACAGATGGAAGTCTTTCCCAATTATTTCTCAGCTATTTGAATTAATTGTGTTAGCAATAGCTGAGTTTTAAATAGTCCAAATAAAAAGCAGACTTCAATTTATCTTTCAAGTGACAAGAGGATTCCTGACAAAACCAATTTCAAACTGAAGGCACAATGGAAGAAAAAAAAAATCCTTTAGTATGAACAAAACATCAATTTAAACCTCCTTTATACTACCTAAAAAGCAATAGAGAATGAAATCCTTTACACATACATGATTACAAAACCTCTTATTTGATTCACTGATGCTGTAGATGTGAAACTGTATTATTTACCAAGTTTACCAGTTCGAAGGCACAATGGCTATCACTTCATCCACATCCCATTCTATTTACAGAGAAAAACAAGGATCATTAAGGAAAAAAAGGAGATAAATACAGATGCACCCTGAGAAGTGAAATTTCACAACTAAAGCATTTGTTTTGAAACACTGTTCTTTGTAAACTCCCATTATCTGAACCTGTGTTCTCTAAAACAATAATGTTTAATACTCAATTACAAGGAAAAATATTACTTGCAGGAAAGAAAAGTTAAAAGCTTAAGTTCCCAGACAAATAAATCAACCCGAACCTGACTGAAATAAATGAGGTCTCATATAGAAGCACACCAAAGCTGACAACTGTCAGTGTGGAAAAAATGTAAATCAAGCTAAAGATCTCTTGACAATGTCCAGTTTTCTGGGGAAAGAAAAAATAAAATGGAATGGCATAATCTAGTTGGAAATCCCATAGTGCCATCTGTGTGGAAGAAAAATCAAAAAGCCAACTGTGCATGCCCTTCTTTGGATCTGGAATTCCCAAAAGTTTCTGTAAAATTGAAAAAACTGATGAAAAAGGTCATTCTATGAGATTAGATAAATGTTCTGTAGCTGTTTCATGACATGGTTTATAAAGTATTGGCACCAGCACAAAGAGTTCAAAGCGTTCATTCAGGAGTCATGGAGATTGTCAAATCTTCAGTGATTCATAGCAGTCCTCTAGTAGCAGTCAGCTATTTACTGCATAAACTGAAGTATTCTTTGCCAGTGATCTTCAGTGCAATAATGTTCTTTTGTCAGACAAAATAATTTTCTTATTATTCCAGTAGGTAATAAGTGCCATCAATACAAGAATAGTGGAATTAATATCAAATGACAAGCTATATTTCATGGTCCATATTCACCAACAGTAGCTATAAAGATAAAATTCTAAACTCAAGCTGTACATAGCAACATATTGTAGCAGTTTTACTCAAGGAAGAAAAAAAAAAAAAAGGAAAAAAAAGGAGAAAATCCTCATCAAAGAAAGTGCAAAAGGAAGAAACCTTCAGAATTTGTCCATTGACAGTTTTCCGTCTTCAGAGGCTGAACAGTGCTAAAGAGAGTGCAATAGTACTTTGACTGATCACCTCTTGGAAAACCAAACTAAAAAAATCCAAAACCAAACCAAATCCAATGCTAATGTTTGGTGATTATTAATCACCAAATCACATTGCCCTTGTTTCAAACCCACTATACTATATTTTCACTGATGTTTTACTGAACAAAGATGTTTGGTTTTACACTTGACAATAGATTTGATGCCAGTGTAATGCATTACCCTATTTTTCATGGTACTCTGCATGATAACCAGATGTGCCACAAATCAAGTCTTGACCGTGACAGAAATTTGAAACAAAAATTGCTCTGGAGTTTTCTACACATTACCAGTTATGACACTAAGTACCTGGCTCCAACTTTATATCCAATACCAAGAAGCATCTGGCAATTTTCCCTTTTGATTCTGCTCTAAGTTAGGTGGAAGACTCTTTCATTTATTGGTTGTGTCACTTAGGCTGGACTGTAAAGCATCACAACATCTATTTCAGGTGAAGGAAGGGAGAAAAACGTATCAGATGCAATTCATTGCCAAAAATCCGAAGACGACAAAGTGCCTTTTCAATCCATTCTTATAATCATAAATAGGTTTTCAAACAACTAACTATAGGCCAGATCATAACATCTTATGCTGCAGACTAAGCGAGAATGCTACAGTATCTATGTATATACAAATACATTTGTAAACATTCATATATACACATACAAACACTTATACATAAAAAGGAAGCACCCATTTTTTCTTACTGCTAAATATTGAAATTCTGCTTCCATCCAGATATAAACAGAATTTATTGTGTGTAACACTCTATAAAGGGACATTTAAGACAACATTATTAATTTCCTTCTCATTAAAGCCACACAGATGGCTGGTATTTAAAAACATGCAGTGCCACCAATTAATACAGAGTTAAACAATTCTTAGGTGCAATATCAACTCTTTAAGAAACGCACAATTTACTTAATATGTATTTTACCCATTTATTTTTTTTTTTTAGATAATTAATACTTTCCACTATTTCATAGCAGATTTATAGTCTTCTTAAAAAAAGTCAGCACAAATTCACAGGAAACAGCTCTGTCAAATGCATTTCACAGCAGCTTAAGTAGTGAGTCACTGAGTGAAACTCTTTTTTATGAACACATTAGGAAAGTTGGCATTCAGTTCTAGGACAACTCTATTGTCAATCTGCGAACAGAACGACACATCGAGTAAAGAAAGATCTTTACAAGACTCCAGCAATTTTCTTAAAGATGCAGGGCTTACCATCCTTGTCCCTGTTCAAAAACAAGAAAAAAAGAAACAAAGCAAATTGTAAAGTTAGTGAGAATAATACTTTTTTTTTTTTCTCTTAAAGCTACTTGATAGTGTGTTACGAAAAAATGCTACTGTAACACAAATTTTATTAAGACATGTGAACCTGGAGAAGGAGAACCATGCCTTACTGGAACATCTGGAAGCCAGGCAGGCTACTCTGGGCAAGTGAACTAAGCCTGGATGGCTATAGTGGGATAAAGAAAGCTCTCCTGGCTCTGTAATTTATACATCCAATATGACTGCACACACCTGTCAGTGGACACTTCAACTTACATAGCTCCACCTTGAGCTGAACTGCACCCCAAAAAGCCACCTAGCTCAGGATCTTGTCTATGGTCAAGGCCAATATTATTTACAGAAAAAAAAGCCAAAAAACAAACAAAAAAAACCAAATAAATCAACAAAAAACCCCAACACAACAACAAAAAAAAATCCAAACAAAAAGAAAACCCAACCCCAAAAACAACAATCGCCCCCCACATAAACATTAAACACACTATTAATTGTAATAATTAAGGGGCAATGAATCACAAATAAGCAGTGAGAGATCACTCCCATTAAACTATTTCCACATCATTTATAATCTTGTGGACATCTTCCTGTTCCCTCAAGGCTGCCTGTTTTCCAGACTCTTCTGCATCTCAGATGACCCCTGTTGTCTTCTTTCTGCACTAATTTAGTACTTTTAAAATTGGACAACTAGAGCTATACAGTGCAGTAAACACAGAGCCAGTAACTCTAAATGAGGTCTTAACGGTGTTTTCTCCATTTTTTTTCCTAAAATATCTTAAAATTCTCTTTGCCTGTCGGAACGATGCTGAGCAATGAGCTAATGTTTTCCAAAAACTGTCCACAGGATCTCTTTCCTACTGAACAGTAACTAACATAAAGTCCCCTTCCCCTGTATTCTTAGTGAATGTTATTTTGCCTCATGCAATAACTTTGCATTTGATGGAATGTTTTCTTCCTGCTTTATCATCTGTTTACTAAGTATCAGATGATAACGCAGAATAAAATCATTCTGTATTTTTTCAGTGTTAAATTCTTCAGCTTAAGATTTTTCTACCCTGAATGGCTGCGCATTACCCTCTGGTAATGCATTATCCACCCCTTTGCCTGGATTACTTATAAGCAGGTCAGTACAGAACCTCAGTGACTACAGTAATGACATAATTTCATTGTTCTTGTCCTCTGTCTTCGAAACACTCATAACCCAGAAGAAGACAGCTAAGTCACAAAAGCAGAAAAACCTTGGCTGAAGCTTTTGAAAATCCAAACCTTTATGGACTGGATCATGATCATGAGGAACTCCAAGGAATTCTAAAAGACTGGAGAGCATAACTACGCTATCCTCACAGGGATGCAGCTCTCCCTCAAAATATCATAATGGCCTTCATGTGCACCGACTTCATGGTTGCAACTGGTTTTCACAGAGCAAAAGGTGATCTTACTGTTTTGAAGCTTCTAACCTGCACCTTTTAGAGAAGCTTTACCCATGTTCATAACCCTTCATTTCTCTAGTGCTAAGGCTGATGTGACAGACCACACACCAGAACTAAGATTTCCACAGCTCTGTATTTAAGCTCATTTAGAACTACTGCATAAATACTATTCAGCCCTAACTATTTATTATTGTTCAGTGTATTGATTTGTTCAAAAGCTTTCTGTATTGGCATTCCAATTTAAAGCAGCTTTCCAGGCTAATCTCCTGGAAAGAATGACTCTGATGTAGCAACCTACTTGATCCTCCTTGCCATGAACCCTAATGACAGACAACAGTTCTGCTGCAATGGCCTTCTTGATCTAAGTAATCCTTCACATCTGGAGTATCTACCAACCTCAGTAACTCTCCTGTAAACCTCTTTTAACATATCTGAAAATACAGTTTTAGCATTTACCTTTACCAATAGTTCCTTAATATCTCATACTGCCTTACTGTGATTTTGTTTCACTTTTTAAAGTTCATCTTCCCACTTTCCTTCTCTGAACAGGATTTATTTTGAGAAAGATGCCTCTGTTTTTAGTAGTCTCCTGTACTCTTCTGTGTAAGCAAGGGGGTATCTAACTGTAGTCTTCACTTCTTTTACTTCTTAAATTAGTTGCTTTGAGACATCATTTAACATCACCCAAAAAACAGTCTTTCCTATCATGCCCCCAGATTTTACTTCACCTACAGGGAGGTAATCAGAGCTTGTCATTATTATTGTGACTTTTAACTCCCTTATCATTACATGATCACCGTCACCACAACTGTCTGGTGGTTGATGTAACAGTCCCTATGGCCATATACAGAAATTCTGTAATACACTTTCAATTATTCACTTTGCTTGACCATAAATTTTACCACTGTCCTACCATCAGGATCTGCTCTACCATCCAACTGAAACTCTAAGAACAACATATTATGCTACTCCTGGGTTCTTTTTACCAAGCCTTAAAATTGCTACTGAATCAGCACCTTCATTTAAAACCAGTCTTACTTACACATAACAGCTTTTACGCTTCAAGATTCAAATGTGTGTTTCTACAAAAAATGCCAGATCTAGATGCCTAGCCACAGATTTTTTTTGTGTAGGATGTTCTTCATCCCTTCCTACCTGAACTTCGACAGTTCTCCTACCGTTTCGTCTAAGTTGCAAATCCATTAAAGATCTCAGTCTACGTAGGCCATCCTAAATTGCATGTTTTACTGCACCTGTTTCTTTTTTCCTCTTCAGACTTACAATTTTATGTTAGGGAATATCTTTTTTCAAAAAGCTAAAAAGCCCAGCAACCTGGCTGGGGTTTAGTTAGTCACACCACAAGATAAGCAAGCATCATCTGCAGTCTTACTTTTATTTATACAATGTACAATTAGTGATGTGGTTTCTTAAAGCACATTCAAAAGCACTTCTGAAGAGTAATACATGTTTCCTTTGCTTTTGAAAGACTGACAACATATGCTGCTCGTTACCCATATAGTGCATTCTTCTAGAGTTCAGAGGCTTTTGGACCTTTGTTACTTACAACTTGCCCACATGGACTAATAGGCCATTTCTGAGAATAAATACATAACCAGTATATTAAAATATGTTATTTAATTTTGTTGTTTGGCATAAAGGCACTTCTGAGTAATGATTTGTTTACTAGAATGATTATGTTTATTGCCTGTAAATTATTTCATTTATACCATATATCAAAGTCTTCAAATTGTAGAGCTGTTCAGAAGAGCTGTGCACGACTGCTATAAAACATGTTACAGCCCTGATCTCTAGGGCAAGGGATATCACTACACATTAAATGATATTTAAGAGTAGAGACCCTGAAAAATATCAAGCACTATCCCCTCAAATGTTCTTACTTTTCCTTTCCTTAGAGCATCCAGACCAGCCTTTTATTCCTTACATTTTATTCAATCTATTGCCCACAACTCAAATTCAAAATTTTAGGGTTCTACACATTTTCATGTTTGAATTGACTAACTACGTGTTGATGCTCTCAAGATAAAGCTGAAAATTTTGACAGCTGGCAAGGGGGCAGTTGGGTTTTCTGTTGCTCAGGAAGGTGTGGGAGGTGTTGGTATGTAGATAGGAATACATGAATTTTGTGTTAACAAGGGCATCTACTTTTCATTACTCTTTTTGTGCAGGACATAGGCAGTCACGAATTTTGGGGAGTGAGGTTAAGATGACTTATTCTTCACCCTTGACAGCAGCTGGTAGCCCCACAGCAACAGAACAAAGTAGCTGATGTAATGTACAAGAAAAGCTTTTGGCACTGCCAATTCAGGTTGTCATCTGACTTGTCACATTGCTCAATGCTGATCACAGTTTGAAGACTAGTTTTTAACTACAGGTCTAGAGGTGTCCACAACTTTTGATAGCCCTGGATGATGCACTACATCACCACAAAACTGTCAAATGATCACAGTTGGATCATTCTACGGCAGGGTAGAAACCTGCCATGTCAGTCAGTGGAAAAGTTGTGGGCAGAGAAGGAAATGATACTTGTAAGCAGGCAGCTCTGTATGTAATGAGTAAAAGAAACCCCAGAACTAAAAACTTCAAGAAGCACACCCTCATATACTCAGTGACATGCATCAACGCTTCCTCTTCCAAACTGTATTATAATATAGCAGATACAGATCCAACCCATGATTTCTTTTTTTTAAACAGAAGTTTACTTTCTGAAGTATATATTACACACCACAAACACAGCTACCATCAAATAATGCTTTATATGAGCCAATAAGTTCGGCAATTTTAATCTTGTATGGAGTGCTCTGATTATGTAACAAGGGAATTGCCAAATGATAATGGTAAAGGACAGATGGGTAGCAAGCCACAGTACCTGAAAACAGCATCCAGGGTATATATATAACATACATTTTGTAATACTTAAATGAAAGACACAGAGTTCAAGATTTCTATCAGAGGCTTGGACTCTTCCAGTCCTGAAGCTATTGTGATGATAAATAATCTATAATCAAAACAAGAAGTTTTCCCTGACAAGTTTTTAAGTTCTAACAACTGCAGAGAAACCAGGCTAGCATTGTCAGCTCTGGTGACTACGGTGCAAGGTATGACATTCTGATCCCTACTTAGTTAAGCATAAAAAACCTTAAGCTTTTAAACAGCTTGCTGAAGCAAAAGAAATTCCCTTATGATGGGCACTGCTAACCTATCAGCAACTCTCCTACACCCTTTACAAGGCATGTACAAGCCAGATATTTCTGTACTTCGGAGATGACAAAGGATATAATGAGAGCACCTCTCATTCTTCCACATCACAGAGAAGACCCACTGTTCAAGGTTACTCTTGCAAAGCTAAGCACTGACCTCAGGCCTCTAACAGCTTCAGACCTGTTGTCACACTCATTCAAAAGTACAAAAACATATTAAGCATTTCTGTAGCTTATAGTAACAGGATGGCCCTACATCAGCTGTGAAAAGTTGGAGCACATACAGAGATTTATGACTTTCTTGGTACTCCTACACTATGAGAGACTAGCTCTTTAGATTAGACAACAAAGATTTCTGCACTTACATGGGAACACCTGGCAACTCTGCCTCCAGGTGACCTGCTGTGGTTCTACTTGACAACTCTTCCTTTTAACCACAGGCTGTAATGATTCCCATATTCAGACAAAGAAATGAACACAGTTTCTTTGCTGTTGACAAAAAAGCTAAGTAACTCACTCACACATATTGTATCATGTTGTACTGACTCATTTACAGCAGAAGACAATATTCTTTCCACTCTACCGAGTATTCCCCTGAAGGAAAAAGTGAGGTCTGGAAGACAGATATTAAGGTTTTTTGGTAAGATAGAATCACAGAATAGTTAGGGCTGGAAAGGGCCTCAAGATCATCTAGTTCCAAACCCCCTGCCATGGGCAGGGACACCCCACACTAAACCATGTCACTCAAGGCTCTGTCCAACCTGGCCTTGAACACCAGCAGAGATGGAGCATTCACAACTTCCTCCCTGGGCAACCCATTCCAGTGCCTCACCACCTCACAGTAAAGAACTTCTTCCTTATACCCAATCTAAACTTCCCCTGTTTTAAGTTTTAACCCACTACCCCTTCTTTTGGACAGTTTAATTGGATATCCCCTGGAAAGCATTTATCTGAACACAACATGCTGCCTCACTGGTCCACTTGACTCAGGAATATAGGCAAGCACACAGAGAATAGAACAAATTCCTTTTCCACATTCATGTGTTATTTTTCCACAAAAACGTCAGCAAGACGTCAAACTAAATTCAAACGTGAATTCAAATGCTGAAGAAGCTTGGCAACAAACCTTCACTGCCAGCAGAGAGGCAACAGAAGTAGCAAGACTATCCACAGGATTTAACACAGCCAAACTATTCATTGGGCAGCCTCTGGTGCAATGAAAAGGTCAGACCACTTTGTGGGCAGACACAATGCCGTTGTAACAGAAATGCATGGAAGTGGGTGGTCAGGGGAACATACGTGTTTATGAAAGACTTCATTCACCATGGCGTTTGGAAATTTTTCATGTCTGAAGAGGGAAATGTGATGTTGATAATCTAGCTACAAAGTAAGATTCCTTAAGGATACACAAAACACATTACCTCCTGTGGACACACACATCAAGTCTCTACAATTTGTATTAAGTGGAGTTAAGTTTCTAGCTGTTCATCTTTTCTTCCCATGCTGGTCAGAAGGCAACTTCCTCAGAGATGAGTACAAACATATTTCATGATAGAAGAGTGTACTAGCTATACTGGAATGACAATCTGAAGGCATATGGTAAATTTTTTGTTATGAGAAATGCCAATAGCCGTAAACTTGCTTGAAACGTTATTCAATCTGAGGTCTCTCAGTTCTTTACAGCATCGCTCTCAAATGTAATATTTTCATTTAAAGTATTAAAAATTGAAAATACATGGTGCAGTTACTTTACTTCCTTTTATTTAAATCTCCCCTTTTCAATTAGCCCTATGAAAATAAATCAGTAAAAGCACGAAGACATTTCTCCCACACTGATGTCACAAATATCCCTGCTGTCCTACATTATTTTAAAAAGAAAACCTCACATTCCACCATAAAAAGAATAAATTTAGTATCATGCAAAACTGTATTCTAAGTCCTTCCTCAAGAGCCCAAAGTGTATTTATATTTCTAAAAATATTTTTAACTATAGAAGCTGTAGAGGATTAGAAATTCAAGGTTTGCTATACCTTTTGCCCCTCATCACTTCCTTCCCACCTTACTAGAAAGTGCATTTTAAGTTTTGCGGTTAATTACCTTTTCCTCTTTAATGAGTCAAACTCACTTCTTGGTAAAAGTGACAAAGAAATTCAATATTGACTGATATATCTGTATTGCGTAAAAGCAGAAATCTGTTTATTGATCACAGACTCATTCTATAAATACACTTTGTCATGCTTCAAAGGAATAAAACAACAAAAGCAGAAACAAGGTTAAGAAATTGAATCTTTTGATAGAAAAAAAAGACTTCAGTGTAAAAAATAATGGTCATGAAACTAAAAGCTACTGAAAAAATCTTGCGCTTAAATCTCAGTTTAAGCAATTCATACTAAGTAGTCAAATTACACGGTTGGTACAAATACACTGGATTCTGAGTCAGAAATACACTGCAGTGAGTAACTTTTTTTTAAATGTTAAACCATAATTTTAAGAAATATTTATTTAGAAATATGTCTAGAAGATGGTTTTGTCTTAAGGACTCTTTAACTGCACAAATTCTGAGACACAGTAAGATAAAAAACAGTATTCCCACATTTTCTTACCTAATATATCCAGCTGCCGTAAATGCGTACAGTTAGCAGCAAGTTCCTCAATGTCTGTGTCACACACAGACCTGTTGGCTGTAAGAAAGAGCTTTTGCAGGTTTGGGAGTTTACGTGCAAGGTTTGTGAAACAGCCTGTACTGCTCTGTAATGTAGGGCACCAGCCAAGATCAAGTTCCTCCAAAAGCTGGCAACCTGACGCCAATTCTGCTATTCCACTTTCAGTTATGTTTTTACATCTCCACAAATCCAGACTACGAAGCTTTTTGCATTTTGCTCCCATCATGCTTGCTATAAGATCATAGTCTTCAATCTGCAAGGAAAGCAAACAATTTGTCATATATACCATCTTTCCAGACATACATAGGTGTTTCAAGATTTGCTTGCTAACACACCTACAGATCTGTTTTAAGCATTTGTCATTTCTAAAGAGCTCTGAAAACTATTGTATAGTAGAGGTTTCATTTTTAAAACAACAAAAATAAAATAAATTTCCTATCAAACCCCAGATATAGGTGCCTTTAATTCACTTAATAATAAGGATCAGTGAAAAAGCAGTGAAATTTTTTTTTTTTTCCTCAGAATCCTTCTCCTCACCTTTTTTCCATAGTTGTTTTTCTTTTAAAAGATAATTAAAACTGATTTTTATGACCATAGGCACTGCAACCATAAGCACATGCAGATTAAAGAATATGTCTGTTTCTATTCTGGGCTGACCAGTTGCTCCATCTTCTCATGGAAGTCTTACTAGTTACTTTGGGCAAGCCAAAAGGACTGAAACAAAGGCCAAACATACAGGCAGAAAAAATGAAATCCACTAGTAAAAAACAGGAAAATAAGAACTTGTTGAAAAAACAGTCAACACTGCCTTCCTCTTCCGTCCAAGAGTCAAAGCACAGAAGGCTGAGCCAATTCTCCTTTATCACTTGCTTCTCTGGACAACCCCAAGCTAATACAGGCTGGACAAACAATGGATTGAGAGGAGCCTTGAGGAGAAAGACTTAGGGGTGTTGGCTGGTGTGAAGCTCAACACAAGCTGGCAGTGTGCGCTTGCAGCATGGAAAGCCAACCATATCCTGGGCTGCATCAAATGAGCATGTCCAACAGGTTAAGGAAGGTGATTCTGCTCCTCTACTCTGCTTCTGTGAGACCCCCTCCCTTCAGCACCACATTCAGCTCTGGAGCCCTCAACATAAGAAGGACATGGATCTGTTGGAGTGAGTCCAGAGGAGGCCATGAAGATGGTCAGAGGGCTGGTGCACCTCTCCTATGAAGACAGAGAGGCTGAGAGAGTTGGGCTTGTTCAGCTTGGAGAAGGCTCAGAGGTGACCTTATAAGGGTACTGCCCTCCAGTACCTAAAGGGGGCCTATAGGAAATCTGGAGAGGGACTTTTTACAAGGGCATGTAGGGATAGAACAATGGGGGGATGGCTTTAAACTGAAAGAGGGGAGATTTAGATTGGACATTAGGAATTCTTTCCTGTGAGGGTGGTGAGACACTGACAAAGGTTGCCCAGAGAAGCTGTGACAGCCCCATCTCTGACAAGTGTTCAAGGACAGGTTGGATGGGGGCTTTGAGCAACCTGGTCTAGTGGAAGGTGTCCCTGCTGCTGTGGTTTAATCCCTAAGAAGGAGAAAAGTGACTGCTACAGCTGAACCCTGGACACCTGCCCATGGCAAGGGGCTGCAACTAGATGAGCTTTAATATCCCTTCCAACCCAAACCATTCTATGATTCTTGAACTACGAGGAAGATCAGCTAAGTCTCCTTTGCCTCTGGCATGTACATGTAATACAGCTCAGTTGAGTGCCCTGCGGAATCGCTGCTGTTCCTGTATTCTCTTTTTTTAAATCATCAGTGTTCCCAGCAAGTCTATGATAAATGGCTTTTACTGAAAATATTTATCTTGTGGTACTGTAAGGGTCAGACACAAGCGTTAATCTGCTAGAAATGATGATTTGGTCTGAATAAAGTAAGTTTTGATTACTAGTTTTGGAAAGAAAAAAGTGATTACGCATATAAAGAATGCCCAAAAGCTTAGGAAGAAGTTGAACAAGTGTGAGAAAGCCTACAAGCTGGTTTAGACCTTCTAAACTAGTATATAAGACTTAAGTATATGGCTAAACTGCATTCATCTTGGACCCTTTAAGAGAGTATAATATCAGTCTAGCATTTAACATGTCTTTGTGAAACATAACCCCAGCCTGGGTTCCAAAGCAAGGGTTTGCACACACACACATACAAACCTACGCACCCTGAGTGGTGTAAGTACTCACCATGACGCAGCTGCCCAGGCTGAGGTGCTGCAATTCTGAGCAGAAGTTCAGAATACTGAGCAGGGCTGTTTGCTGCCACAGGGGAACACATCAGAAGCAAATATGGAAAGTGAAACAAAGAGAAGAGGTCAATTAGACATTAAAGGCTGTCACTGCATTTCCTGAAATACAGCTCAAAACTCTGTTAACGACACCACAAATGTCACTTAATGAGTCCCTGGGTACTTTACCCATTGACTGGCTTAAAGCAACGGTAATCGTTACAAACCTTTATGCAAGTCACTTTGGATGTGGTTTTGCATTGCCCTGAAGATACCTATATACTCATGACCTATCTGCTCATTTCCCACAGGAAAGCTGCTGAAGAAGCGTGGCAAGTTCAAACAGGCAAGGCCTGCCCAAAAACACAGAGGGCTGAGGACATACCAGAAGAACAGCAGAGGCTCTGACATTCACTGATCAGCTATGGCCTGATGGAACTGCCAATAGAGGTGCACAGCAACAGGACCGAGCTGGTGACTTTCATGTCAAAGGAGTCTCTATGCTGACAAGGATGCTGACAACCATTGAGCACCTGTCACTACTAGCATGCAAACTGAAACAGATATAATGTGCATTTTACAGTCATGTTCCTGCCATTTAACATGGCCACTCTTTTCAGAAAGTACTGCACACTGCTCAGCCTGAAATTGGACTGGAGCATCAGCTGCATCTTGCAAAAGTACAATGTTGTTCTGTTCCACAGCAAAGGAAACTTCATGAGTTTTTTGTGTTTCTAAGATACAGAAAAGACTCTTCAGCATTGTCTGTAGCCATATTTTGCTTTGCAGTTTGAAATACAGCACAAAAAAGAACACGGTCTGGGATTCAAATCGCAAATAGATATGCATCATACCTAATACATTCATCACTTTGTTAGGACTTTGTAATCTGTATGAGCTTGAAATCAGGAGTAAGTTTCACAAAATACTAACAACACAAGTGTGAATTTCTACAGGATGCACAACAGTTTCTAATAGAAAAAAAACAAACCCCAAGCGATATGCAAGGGACAAAATAACCCTTAGCTAATAAGAGGAATTCCTACAAGAATATTATCTAACAGTATTTGTATGCACGGGTAGCATAATTTATGCAGGTTGTTTGTTTTTTTGTTTTTTTAAATACAAATTTACCTGTTTTCAGAAAGTTTACAGTTTCATAGACTAGAATCATAGAATCATAGAATCATTACGGTTGGAAAGGACCTTAAGATCACCTAGTTCCAACCCCCCTGCCATGGGCAGGGACACCCAAGGCCTCGTCCAACCTGGCCTTGAACACTGCCAGGGATGGAGCATTCACAACCTCCCTGGGCAACCTATTCCAGTGCCTCACCACCCTAACAGGAAAGAATTTCCTTCTTATATCAAATCAAAACTTCCCCTGTTTAAGTTTTACCCCGTTACCCCACGTCCTGTCACTACAGTCCCTAATGAAGAGTCCCTCCCCAGCATCCCTATAGGCCCCCTTCAGATACTGGAAGACTGCTAGGAGGTCTCCACGCAGCTTTCTCTTCCCCAGGCTGAACAGCCCCAACTTCCTCAGCCTGTCTTCATACGGGAGGTGCTCCAGTCCCCTGATCATCCTCGTGGCCCTTCTCTGGACTTGTTCCAACAGTTCCATGTCCTTTTTATGTTGAGGACACCAGAACTGCACGCAATATCCAGGTGAGGTCTCACAAGAGCAGAGCAAAGGGGCAGGATCACTTCCTTCGACCTGCTGGTCACACTCCTTTTGATGCAGCCCAGGATACGGTTGGCTTTCTGGGCTGCAAGCACACACTGAAGCTGGCTCATGTTCATTTTCTCATCAACCAACACCCCCAAGTCCTTCTCCGCAGGGCTGCTCTGAATCTCTTCTCTGCCCAGCCTGTAGCTGTGCCTGGGATTGCTCCGACAAAGTTTAACGCTTTATTTAGTTTCTTCAGTTATATTTCTAATGAAACTTGGCAAGAACACGATCCTTTGTCATAGCACTGCAAAGACATATTTGATTCCTTGAACTGAAAGGCTGACAGACACAAAACAGGGACATAGTACAGGGTATTCATGGAGACCATTTCAGACATCTAATTTACATGTCTCCAGTGAGCAACTGGAAACACCCAACACTTAACATCTATGGAACTTCAGCTTCCAACTTGTCCTTCCAAGATATGATTTTTCAAAGGCAGCCTAAATGTAGACACTACACATGTATCTCTGCAGAGGTCTCGTAAAACCACTGTCTGCTTGTCTGCTTTAGTTTCATTCATGTTTTTACAGAAAAAGGTAGCTAGGAAATTAAGCACAAGCATTAAAAACTCATTATTAAAGAGGCAACACTTAAGAACACTTTAAAGCTAGTAAATGTTGTGAATATCCAGTAATGTACTTATTGAGCAAATGCTTCACTGTGATCATTAAAACCTGAATAAACAAGTAACTCCAACAGAGTAAGACACAGTCTTTACTATTTAACTTGGTGCAAGCTATGAGCTTTAGAACTTACTCAGGTGTAAAAATTAAAAGCAAAATCCCCAACCCCCTCTCTACAAACCTTAAATACCGAGCTAAATAAATTAGTCTCTGACTGCACACATTTCTAAAGAGGGTTTCTGCAGGTATTCAGGTGATTCTGGAGGAAAGCTGAATACCTTCCTGCATTCCACCATAGTTTTTAGTAATGGTTTCCAGACCGGAATTTAAACACTGGCCTGAAAGGATTGGAAACAGCAATATCTTTCTTTAATTAACACACACAATGTGAAAGCGGACTGTCACTGTGAACAGCTTGCAGGGATGCAAGATCAATTCCATACATTGTGTCTTCAGAGAGGAGTGAAATAGGTAAGACGACTAATATTCATAGTTATCTTGATTAGATAACTGAGCTATTTTTGTTAACTTGAACAGTAACTTGATTCATCTCAGAATACCTTTTTAATTCCTCTCTAATGTGAGGCAGTCCCTTCTATATTGATGTGCACCGAGTCCACATTTTCAAAGGTGTTTTCCCAACTGTCGTGGTTCAAACCCAGTCAGGCAATTCGTTCGCTCACTTCCCCCCCTTTCTTGCCCTCCCCCTGCTCCCGGAGGGACAGAGAGGAGAATCGAAAAGAATGCAACTCCCACGGGTTGAGATAAGAACAGTTTAGTAACTAAGGTATAACACAAATCACTACTGCTACCACCAATGATAATAATGATAAAGGAAATAACAAGGGAAGAGAATACATCATCTCACCACCAGCCGACCGATAACTCGCCCCCCCCAGCCCGACCAAGCTCCGACCGATACCTCCTCCAACCCCGCAGTCCCCCAGCCCTTCCGGCTAACTCCCAGTTACATCCTGGGCATGACGTGCTGTGGTATGGAATACCTCTTTGGTCAGTTTGGGTCAGGTGTCCTGTCTCTGCTTCCTCCTGGCTCCCCTTCCTCCCTGGCAGAGCATGAGGCTCACAAAGTCCTTGGCCAAACCAAAACATCGCTTGTTATCAGCTCTGTTCCCGAGCTGAAAGTCAAAACACTGCACTACACCAGCTACCAAGAAGGAGAAAAATGACTGCTACTGCTGAACCCAGGACACCAACCCATAAACTTTGAAGTATTATTATAAACAATTATTGAAAAAAACCCAAACAATTTAAGAAAAAGCACTAGGAATGTGGGTAATAGAAGGAAGACTGGTAGGACACCATGTTGTACCATCATAAATCATGCCAAGTCAAACCCAAGTGTAAACAACTATTTACTAAACATAAATTATACTGGCTATATTAATTCCTCTTCTGGGGCACACACATGCCTGCATGCAACAAATCAGATTTCTTTCAGAAGCAGTGTCTGTTCTCTGACTGAGGTGGGGTTTGCATATGTCAAGAAAGAAGAAAAAAACCCTTTGTTCGTGCCTACTTGTGTCTCAGTCAATTCAGAATCCAGGTGGCTAAAGGCATGAAAATAGCAGAAGAGAATGGCAGCTCACAGAATCCATATGTACTACATATAGAAGGACTATCATTGTAATAACCTGTCTGTTTCAAGCCATCTGTCTCTACAATTCATCTCTCTGACTTGCAATACAAGATGAGTGATAACACTCCTATTTAAGCAAAGGAGAAGAGCAAGGCAATCACCCAACCCTGAAGCTGTAACATAGGCCAAACTTTGATGTTAGAGTGCTTTACAAGAGCAGCTAAGAGGCCACCTAAATTCTGGATCAGTGAGCTTTAACCTGGAGTCTAATTTCACTTTCTCAGCCAAACAGAGACAGTCAAACCAAAGACTACCCATGCAATACCATTCTTGAGCCTAGTAGCCAAGACGTGCATAGTTTGGAGATATTCTGACTTTTCCCTGAACCAAAGGTAAGGTTTGGTTCAACAAACAAAAACCCACAAAAAAAAAACCACTCTGAAAAGAAACAAAAGCTACCATTTTTTGTGGAGTAATGTATGCATGGCTTTAGTGTGGTCTAAATTTCTTCTCCCATCCAAGCCAAAACAAAAGCTACTAAAGTAATCAACTTTTATGAGATAGCATAGACTACAGGAAGAGTCCAAAGGGACCAAATAAAATGCTTCATTCCAGGAAAGGTGTTTTCAGATGAGGAAAACATACAGCATAGGAGTTGCTTTAAGAGAGAAGACTCTTGATATCAAACTGATCAGAAGGATATGATACTGCTGCTAAACACAAGCTTACAGAGCAGATTCCAGATATGTTTTAGGCCATGGCAGTAAGCCCTACACCTCAGGAAATGAGAGCAGACTGCTTGAAGAGTCTCTAAAGTCTTTGAACAGGTCAGACAAACATCTGCCAGAAAGCACATCAACAGTACTTATCCTGCCTTGGACAAGAGATTAGATTATTGCTTGAGATCCTAACTCACTCCAGATGAGAGGTCTGCCCAAACATGAAAATCTGTAATATAGGGCAGTCTGGAAGACATTTCTGTGTTGTGTATGCTTCAATAGCTGATACTGGCATAACTTGTATTCTACCTGTCGTTTTAAAGACCTTAGACATCACATGGAAGTTTTGACTTAGAC